CTCATACCAAATCAATGCAAAAGTGAAATAGGAGGCTGTCCAAAGCAAAATTATCAATCCATCAAAGTACTAACCAAAACCTTGCCATCGCCAATGTAGATCATTAATTGTGCACTAAATCACTAAATTGAAACAAAATCGGACTGAAAATCAGAACCATATACTCTTCTTTTATCTATGATCAGTACAAAACACACTTGTTGAATCTAATGCGAGATGCGAAAACCATCAACGACATATGTATGTACATAGATAACGAATGCTAATAACAGTAGAGCGAACAGCAAACGTAAGGGTGTCGGCACACCTGTCAAAAACGAGAAAGCGCAACGGCGCTACGATAAAACATTAAAACGGTGATCTATGTGAGATTAAATTCCGTTATAATTGTTTATCTATGTTTATACTTAAACCTTTTCATAGGCCTCTAATATTTTACCGGAGTCAGTTTGGGCATCAAATCTACATTGTGCCAATTTCATCAAAATCCGAGACGAGCAACGCGTTCTCTTTTAAGTATTTTTAAACAATTTCTAGAGAATCAAGAAAATTAATGCTTTATTTTAAGTGCATAAGGATGTGTAGTGTATAATGAACGTCTACTTGTTCAATATTATATAATTTATATTAACATTATTCGTTTGCCCATATTTTGTTAATACAATCGAACTGGAGTTTTATACACTTTCTATGAAAAACGTATATAACTATGGTATAATCCTATCCAAATTTTTTTGGGGTCTTTCGACTCATTCGTTTTTCTTTTATGCTGTTTTTTAAAAATTTGTTATCTAGTCCATTTTACCCCATAGGCGGGGTAACTTGGGACAGCCAGATGGCAAACAGGTTCAATGTCTTATTTTAATTTAAAATGTATTTTACAAAATAATTACATTATTCAAGTAATGCAGAATATAAATTCGAATTTGTATTATCAGCTATAACCTTCTTATTTAATTTGTTGACTGTTATAACTCGAAATAAATTATTCGACAATGTCCCCTGCACTTAATTCAAAATTTAGATTATTAATTTGAATAACTTAAATAAAATTAATAATAATATAAAAATATTTTATGAATGCGAATGAGTATAAATTATACAAAGTTTTTTAAGAGTACTGACTTTGAAAAAAATATGATTTGCGAAGCAAATGTGCCATGAGGCCAAAAATTTATTTTATATTAACATTTCAAAAAAGTTGATATTTTGAGATTCAAATAATAATTGCGACCCGTTTAATAATGTTTTATAAGTATAAATAAAATAACAAACTACAAATAAATAGTATTCAATAATATTCATTTAAAACACCATATTAAAATTTAGAGCTGTGAAAGGGATCCGGGTCCAGCGCGGTTCCGGTTCTGGAACCGGTTCCATTTTTTTTTTTAATTTTTTTTGTCACCTACAACGTTTTATTTTTACATCCTATATTATTATTTCTAATTCTTAATAATTTTAATTCAACATTTCAAAAATTCAAATATAATAAACTCAAGAGATTATTTATTTCCATTTCAAAGCCTAATTTCGATTCAAAATTAATTAACTTATTCGAATTAAGAAGTTAAACCAATTATAACTTTCGCGAAGGAGTATTTTGTTTGTTTGTTTGTTGTTCATTCAAAACCTTTTCTTAAAAAAAATTAAATCGATTTCGAATATTACTATTCGAAAAATTTGGGGATGTACTGATTAGTACATCGAACGGGTATTTTCTTCGTGATCAACCGTTAAAATATTTTTATTTACGATTTTAATTAAATCCACAATGATTTTTTACCAATAATAATAATGAATTATAAATTAAGTACATTTCAGTTCAATATTCAGCTTTAAGAATTTATAAATTTATTAATTTTGGTTAATAAATCGTTACCGAATATGTACACTCAACTTATGCAAAGGCAAAGGAGACGTGTTGCGACACAATATAAAAAATTAAACATTGTTATATGTATTAGTCTGAATCTTTTCATTGCGAGCCATCAGTCTTTAGCCCATAAATATTGATTTTAATGACTTGTCCAAATCATTCTTTGACAATTGTTTTCAGAAAGAACCCCAACTATTTTCAATAGAGAACACCCGACTACAAGAGCCGCATTTCGTTAATCCGTCTAAATTATTATTTCTGAAACTAAATATTTATCCATTTCAACAACATTCCAAACGATATAGAAGTTAATATAAACACTTCTATTCTGTTTTTAAAATTGTCAATTTTTTAAAAAAATAAAATCAGTTCATGTAACATATATTACTTTATGTTTCAATTATATTTTATTTTATATATTTGTTATTTATATATGAAACACTATTTTAAAATATGCAATATTTCAAAATTAATTAGTAAACTCAAAGGAATTTTTGAAATTTGTTGTTTTACGATTTATGAGGCTGCCTGCTTTCGTTCGCGGCATTTTACAAATCCAAAGTGACCTACCTTTAGATAAATTGGCAATCACAGCGGACAAAATACTAAAAGCTCAACCGTTGGTTCCGCATGTAGACTAAACAAAGCAGCCACACCACAATCAATCTACCGACACATCCACTACAAAAACACCCTGGACGATTTAACAAAACAGGTACGAAATTTGCAAGAAAAAATTCGACGTTTAGGTAGATCAAGATCGAGAAGCAGCGAACGACAAGAAACCACGAAATGCTGGTATCATCAGCAATTTGGAAAAAAGGCAAACAATATCAAAAACCATGTACGTGAATAGCAGAATACGCAGCACAAAAAACGAGGAAACCGATCAGTAGTGGCAACAACTGAATATCAATCCGCTAAAGGTCGCCTTTTTGTTCTTGGTAAGAATAATAACACCAAATTTCTTATAGATACCGGTTCAGACGTTCAGGAGAGCCTTCAATAAATGGAACAAATCAGAGTATGAACTACAAGCTGCCAATGGTACTCCAATTCGAACGTACGGACTAAAGAATTTGTGTCTTAATCTCGGGCTGCGAAGACAGTTTGACTGGAAATTCATTATCGCAGACGTGGATACACCAATAGTAGGTTCGGATTTCTTAGCATTTTTGGGCTTCTACTAGATTGCCGAAATAAACGCCTAGTCGATGGAAGAACTGGGTTACACACCGCATGTGTAACTCATACATCACACCAAGAGAGCGTTAAAATACTCATACACAAGGATCCGACAATTCAAAAACTACTATCAGAATTTCCAAATCAAATCAAACCATCCGACGCACTGCGTAAACCCCTCCACAGCACAAGACATTCCATTATTACAACGCCAGGCCCACCTGTATCATGCCGTCCACGTCGTCTAGCACCAGACCGATACTAGATGGCCAAGGATGAATTCTAATCAATGCTGCAAAAAGGCACGTCGATCAAAAAGTCCTTGGTCTTCCCCATTACACCTGGTCAAAAAGAAAGATGGAGGGTGGCGACTATCGCGCACTTTATGCGAGGACAGTTCCAGATAGATATCCAGTCCGTCACATTCACGATTTCTCAACAAATCTCCAGGGATGTAATATATTTTCTGTTATAGATTTAGTGAAGGCATACAAGCAAATACCGGTAGAAGAAAAGGACGTACCAAAGACAGCAATATCAACGCCTTTTGGCCTGTTTGAGTTTCCATTCATGTCTTTCGGTCTCAGAAACGCTGGGCAGACCTTTCAGCGCTTCATAGACAAAGTTTTGATAGGATTAAATTTTTGTTTTGCTTACATAGATGATATTTTATTTTTCCAGAAATAGACAAGAGCATCGAGTGCATTTACGAGCGATATTTGAACGCCTTTGCCACCATGAAAATGTAATAAATCAGATAAAAAGTACCTTTTGTATCCCGCAAATTCAGTTTTTAGGATACGAAATTTCCGCAACAGGAACCAAGCCACCATCTGACCGTATCGAAAATCTGGAGAATTTTCCTCGTCCAGAAACCGCAAAGTCCCTTAGACGATTTTTAGGTATGCTCAATTATTATCGCCGTTTTATACTAAACGCAGCTTCGAACCAAGCAATACTTCATGATGCAATATCATCTATCAAAGGCAATAAATCTATCTCCTGGACTCCAGAACTAAAAAAAGCATTTCAATCCTGCAAAGACAAACTTGCGGAAGGAACGCTACTCCAACATACAATTCATGGTGCTAAATTAGGATTATTTACATATGTTCCCAGCAGGCAGTGGGCGCCTGATTGCAAAAATTGGTTGAAAACAAACGGCAACCCCTAGCATACTTCTCTAAAAAGTTGACTCCACGTCAATCGATATGGCCAGCTTAATACAGAGAATTGCTTTCGGTATATCTTGCTGTGCAGCACTTCAGGCACATCCTTGAAACGCATCAATGCACAATATACACTGATCACAAACCATTAACTTTTGCATGCTCCCAACGCCATGAAAAACTTCCGCCAGTTCAATTAAATCATCTAAATTTTATTTCACAGTTTACAACAGATATAAAATACATCAGAGGCCAGAAAAATATCATAGCTGATACACTGTCACGAGTCGAAACCATTACAAAAGATAATTTACTTAATTTCGAAATCCTAGCACACAACCAGAAAGATGATGCAGAACTTAAACGCCTTTTGATGCAGGACGCCAAACTACAATTAGAAGAAATTCCAGTACCAGGCACAAACATAAAGTTGTTTTGCGACACGGCGAAGGCTTAGCCACGACCTTATATCCCGGCACTACTGCGGAGACAAATATTTAACTCATTACATGGTTTGAGTCACCCTGGGATACGAGCAATTTTGCGTCTTAATACTGCACGGTACGTATACAGAAAAACTGCCACGATTGGGCTAGAGCTTGACAAGATTGTCAATAGTCCAAAATAACACGGCGTGTTCATGCACCTCACGACACATTTCCCTTGCCAACAGCAAGATTTGCACATGTACACATCGATATAATTGGTCCTTTACCTCCTGTTAACTTCTATAAATATTGTTTGACAGCCATTGATCGATTTACCAAATGGCCAGAAGTATACCCACTACTAGGTCTGCAGAAGAAGTAGCGGTTGGATTTTTATTATGCTGGATATCCCGCTTCGGAGCTCCAGTCAAAATGACGACTGATCGAGGTACTCAATTTAAATCTGAATTATTTAGATCATTAAACAAGTTGACAGGTACCATTAGGATCAGGACTTGCAGCTATCATCCATGTTCCAACGGACTAATAGAGCGCTTCCATCGACAACTCAAGACTGCGATAATGTGTTACAAAGACAACACATGGTTGGAAGCACTTCCGCTAATTCTAGTAGGCATTCGAAACGCTTACAAACCTGATATCAAGACATCAGCCGCTGAAATGGTGTATGGTGAACCACTTCGCCTTCCTGGAGAATTTTTTGAATTATATAAAAATCCTCAAAATTTAAGACATCCGGCTGATCTACTCTCGAGACTTCGAGAACACGTAGCGCATCTTCAACCAAGTAAATCCAGTAATCACACAAACAATAAACCATTTATTTATCAGGACCTACAAACATGCACGAATATTTTCCTCCGCGACGATACTATCAGGAAGTCACTCCAAATCAAGGTCCATACGAAGTTCTTAAGAGAGATGATAAAACAGTAACCATACGAACACAGAGAGGCAGTACACGGATGTCCATCGATCGCATCAAACCAGCCTATATCATCGTAGATCCAGTAGACCAAACCATGGGGAGTTATCTCCGAACAAATGTATATTACCCTGTTTTGGAAAGGACTACTATTTTTAGCGAAAAAAAGATGACGCTACTAAATATGTAAAACGTCAAAATTGATCGCTTAGATTTGCCATTCACCATTTTGTATTAAAGTTTTTGGTTCGCATATGGTTCGCATGTTGTTTCTGTAATTAATTGTATTCAAGTAAGCATTTAATATGGCAAAATGTAGCGCAATGTGAAATTTAATATGGCAAAATGTAACGCACCAACTTGTGGTAACTTCAGAAATAATATAAAAATGCACTTCTTTCCGGCTTTATGAAGTGAACAAATTAAAAATGTCCAATTATATTTCACAGAATAGTTTTCATGTCTATAATTCACAGTGATATAAGAAGAGAAAGACAATCTGATATATGACCAGGAGAACACTTTGCAACTCCGGTGGAAAGGGTAATAATAATTCTGAATATTTTAATACTATTTGCTATTACGACTTGATATTATATTACAACATGTTATGTTTATTAGATGTTCTTGGGAATTCAAATTGCAGCAGAATCTAGTGACTAAGGATAGGAGTGTCTTGATGCCGAGGGCATGTAAAATGTATGACACATCCATTATATGTTGAGGGAGTTAAGAAGGATAGACAAACAAAGCAATAAAATAAGGTATAAATTGCAACAGAGTATAAAATGCTCAGAAATATTCTTAACATTCCAGCCGAAAGGACTGCTGCACAATCGAATCATAAGAAATTCAAGATATTGTAGAATGCAACTTTATTAATGATAAAATAAATATCAAATGCAAAGTTAATGTTAAAGAAGCATGACTCATAAATGAATTTTAATTCTTGGAATTTAGTTTTCTATCAATTTTGATATCAATATATATATTTTATGTCTGTAGGATTTAACTTTTTAAATTTGTTCATTATTTGTCATTTCTTCTAATTATACTATTCCATTATCTTTAGTATATACTCTATATACTACATACTTAGATTCTATACTTTTTTCTTCTCTTTTTAATATATTAATATTAGTCATTAAGAAATTAATATTAGTCAGTTCGTGTAAATTCATTATACTTATGAAAACTTTTACCTGTCTAGTTGTTATATATTATTGATCATTAAGTAATTCATATTGATCGTTACTTTTAAGTTTAACATTTTATTGTAAATGCTTTTACACAATCTTAGTGTAGTTGCTATATATTATTGATCTTAAAGTAATTCATATTGATCGTTATTTTTAAGTTTAACATTTTATTGTAAATGCTTCTACATAATCGCAGTGTGGTTGCTATATGTTATTGATCATTAAGTAATTCATATTGATCGTTATTTTTAAGTTTAACATTTTATTGTAAATGCTTCTACATAATCTCTGTGTAGTTTGCTATATATTATTGATCATTAAGTAATTCATATTGATCGTTCCTTTTAAGTTTAACATTTTATTGTAAATGCTTCTACACAATCTCTATGTAGTTGCTATATATTATTGATCATTAAGTAATTCATATTGATCATTCCCTCTAAATTTAACATTTTATTGTAAATGCTTCTACACAATCTCTGTGTAGTTATATATTATTGATCATTAAGTAATTCATATTGATCGTTCCTTGTAAATTTATCATACCATTGTGAATACTTTTTTTAGTTACTTATAATTGTAAAATTATAATACTTATTATTATGTATATATTGATTATTACATTTATAAAAATTTTAATTGTTATGTAAAAATGTTTGTAATATATATTTGAAAATATATTTTGTACTTCGTATGTTTTTTTTTCTCATTTCCAATATAAGAAATTATTTAGGTTTTCTTATTTTGAATTACGTATGCAAACCATATCTAGAAATAATACCAGCGGTTGATTTATATACTGAACAAGTGCTGCCTTCTTCAGATCGCTAAAAATATTAAAATGGCGGTAATGTCAAATGGCCTCAGATAGCGATCTATTTATGTTTACTTATCTATGGACCAAACAATTATCACCAAAGCAGAGAACAACTATTTCACTCTAATTCATTCTGCCTAAGCAGAATTGGGATCGATATCGATCCTAGTTGCTACTGCTTGGGTGAAGCGACTAGGGCGGATGCAGAGCATATCATCATGGAGTGTAAACGTTAGGAAAAGGGCAGACAAAAACTAAACTATGGGAGGAAATAATCAAACAAAAAATCTCCCTTCCAATTAATTTTATAACAGTGCTGACAGATACAAGATTATATGGTGCTCTTTATACTTACATCAAATCTAATAATATAAAACTATAAATGAAACATACATAAAACAATGATATATACGTAAGACAAGACTTTAAGAGATAGTGTAGATATCATGTAATTTAGTATATGGCTAATGTACTAGTTTATAAAGCCAATAAATCATAAATAAAAAAAAAACTATTTCACTCGATCAGGCCGAAAAGTTCATTTTCGAATTATATAACCATCTATTAGTATTAGTCAGTTCGTGTAAATTCATTATACTTATGAAAACTTTTACCTGTCTAGTTGTTATATATTATTGATCATTAAGTAATTCATATTGATCGTTACTTTTAAGTTTAACATTTTATTGTAAATGCTTTTACACAATCTTAGTGTAGTTGCTATATATTATTGATCTTAAAGTAATTCATATTGATCGTTATTTTTAAGTTTAACATTTTATTGTAAATGCTTCTACATATCTATATAAGAGGTTTGACAACTGATGGCGTCACAAGTTTATGCCTCAACTTCAATTGTGTCACCGCTTGTGCGACACGCCAACGTTGCACCAGGTGGCACCACGATATACCCTTTAGACATCCCCATTCCTTGTTGCTGAGGGTATTTAACACATAGCGCAACACGGACTAATACTCTTAACTATTCAAGGACTCAACAACTACTGACCTGGGACCACGGACAGTAGCGAGCCTGAAGAAGACAATAATAAATTATAATTTCAATGTAAATATATCTAATATAATAAATAATATTATATCATAGTATTTGCGTTATTCAAGTAGAAATATATGTGGAAGATACCCACTCAATATACATATTCTAATTTTTATTTGTTTTTAGCCTCTGTTGAACATATTTTGAAAAAAGCGATCATCGTAGACGGGTAAATCAGCGACCTAGACAAGGCTTCGACTCAGGTATCTTCCCTAAAAAAGAAAACGAATATGTTTGATAAATTGGATTGGTTTCACTGTGGAAGATGTCAAAGCCTAGGAAGAAAAACTAGCTGAAGAAAAATCTGAAGAGATAGAAACTGATCTGGTGCAAAATATATGAAATTATTTAAAAAAATGCAATTACTTTTAATCAAAGCATGTTTTTAATTTGAAGGCCGATTTTGTTATCAAGATTGGTGGGCGTGATCCCAAAGATCATATTGCCAATGCATTAAGCAGAATGTTTGCGGATAATTTGCATTTGCAAGGCAGAGGCACTGGCAGAGGGCTTTGAAAAAAGTAATCACAATAAATTTAAATAATGAATTAATATTATTTGAAATATTATAATTTGTTACTTTTTTAGTTTATTTTTGTGCAATAAATTTTATGTTGTTTAAAATATTTGTTGCTATTTTGTTTGTTATAAAATATTGGCTACTGTTTTGTTGCTATTTTGTTATAAAATACTTGTTATTGTTTTGTTTAGTTCAAAATATTTGTTGCTAATTGTTTGTTACTGTTCTGTTTAGTACAAAATACTTGTTGCTATTTTGTTTGTTGTAAAATATTGGTTACTGTTTTGTTGCTATTTTGTTATAAAATACTTATTACTGTTTTGTTTTGTTCAAAATATTTGTTGCTATTTGTTTGTCATAAAATATTTGTTACTGTTTTGTTTAGTACAAAATATTTGTTTATTGTAAAACAAACTAAGAAAAAATTTTTTCTCAAAAATTTCCATAACTTTCAAGAAAAAAAAAAAATTCTATTATGTTTAATATCCTGTTCTGATAATCCACTCATTTATTTTTATCATTTTCATTTTGATCATATTATCATATTTCTGTACATTATTATATTTTTTGCAATTAATTTATTATTTAAGAAAAATCTATTTTCTTTTCCTAAACATATTGTTTGCTTAAATCTCATCAAGATCATGTTTCTTGACAGATGTCCTGAAGATGAAACGTACCTAGTTCCGAAACGTCGACAGTAAATAAATAATTAAATAAAGAAACTGTTTATTAAAAACTTTTCTTGTTTTTTTATTACTTTTGGATTCTTGTTCGAAACTCTACAAAATATACACAAATCCAAGATTCTACCATTCATATTCATATTCATATATATATATATATATATATATATATATATATATATATATATATATATATATATATATATATATATATATATATATATTAGGGTGATCCTTAAAATGGTCATTTCGAATTTCCTTGCTCCCAGGGATTCATCAAATGGTTCCAAATAGACAAAAAACAATTCTCTGAAAGTTTTAGCTCTTAATATTAACGTTTAGATAGAGCGCAATTCAATCAAACTTTGTATGCAAAGAGCATGGAATTTTTTTTGAAAATATAAAAAAAATGTTTTAGGTTCAACTTAGCGACAAATGAATGAGTTTTATTTATTTATTTGTTCGCTAAATTACATCTAAAAAACATCTTCAAAATTTTTGAAAACTTTTCCATGCTATTTCCATACAAAACTTTGATTGAATTGCGCTCTATCTAAACGTTAATATTAAGAGCTAAAACTTTCAGAGAATTGTTTTTTATCTATTTGGAACCATTTTATCCCCTAGGAGCAAGGAAATTCGAAAATGACCATATTAAGGACCACTCTCATATATATATATATATATATATATATATATATATATATATATATATATATATATCTTCAACCTCGGTACGGTCAACATCTAATTCTTGCTCTTTACTTTTTATTTATTTTTACCTGAATTTACCGTTAAATCTCGTTATTTTTGTAGTTCTTTATACCTGCGCGAGCGTTTTTCCACTACCTTAAGTTTATTTAATTTGTGATTTGTGAATTTATTTAAATGTTTTATATCTTTTTATTTTAATTTTTAAATAGTTAATTGCTCAATTTATTTAGTTTCTTTTTCTAGTTCACTTATTTCTTAATAAATATTTCAAAATGGTTGTTACACGGAGCTAGGTGCCAAGTCAGTCTTTAGATGCAAGTGTCTCAGTTTTGGACGACTCAATCGATTTCAATTCTAGTATTCTTTGTTTGACATTGTCTACATTTACAATATCTTGTTCACGAAAGAGATATTAGGCTTACAAAAGAATTGTCTGAGGTTAAGTTAGGGAACCAGAATCTTCAGCTCAGGATTACTGGTGTTAGTTCCGTATTAGGGAATATGAGCTCTTCAGGGTCAGTTTTCAAAGAGTCGTCCACATTTTCACGTTCTTTTTCAAAACTCTGTAGTGAGAGTTAAATTTGCGCTAAGAATTAAATCAGCGATAGAGAATGGCGAAATAAATAAAATAATTAAATATATTAACCAGGTATGTCTAGAATTTATTTTA